ATACAAATAGAGGCTTGAGAAGAACTTCTGAATCGGAGCTTGCCCTCTCTTGCTGCTGGAAAAACTTCCATCACCATGTCAACAACTCTGAGCAGCCTTCTGGAAGATGAAAACACATGGAGAGGCACCTCAATCACTCTAGTCATTTCAGCTGGGACTCCAGGCATGTGAATGATGTCATTCTAGACCATCCAGCCTCAGCCAGAAGAATCATCCAGCCAACCCAAAGAATCATGAGAAATAACAAATGTTTGTTTCAAGTCACTAAGTTCTGTGGTCATTTGTTATGTCCCTCAGAAGACAATAATTAACTCTGAACCAGGCTAAACATATTTCACAGGTACAGATATTGTTTCTCCCACCCTTATTCTCTTTGGAGGATTTGTGTTTCATTAGTCATCAAAGGTTTGAACTAAAGGATGAAAGCTTGAGGAATATAAAGCAATGGCCAATGGATAGTGGAGGTATTTGGGGGCAGTGGAGTCTTTCAGGACTCCTGAAACAGCTCCCCAAATATGATTCAATTTTCCCACTTATAGTCTCATAAAATGATGTATCTTTTCTTCAGAGCATTTTTTTTTTTAAGATTTTATTTATTTACTCATGAGAGACAGAGAGAGAGAGAGGCAGAGGGAAAAGCAGGCTCCTCCCTGAGCCGGGAGCCCGATGCGGGACTCGATCCCAGGACCCTGGGATCATGACCTGAGCCGAAGGCAGATGCTTAACCATCTGAGCCACCCAGGCGCCCTCTTCAGAGCACTTTTTAATTATATTTGGGTGAGTATTTTATAATGTCTAGACTAAACCACAAGCTACTAGACTATAAGCTTTATAAAGGCAAAGCTTGTTTTAATTTGCCATTGATTATATCCTGACACATACTAGACATTTATTGAATGAGTAAATATAAATGAATAAATTTGAGTTTTGCCTACTTCATATAAGGGATGAAGGCCTTCAAAAACATCACTTAAGAGTATTTGTATCTCATGGGCCTGTCTATTGCATGCAATCCTAGGCACAGGCTGATCCTCCAACTGTGGCAGGTAATCAGGGATAACTTAGTAGAGATGCAGAATCTGAAATCAGTGAGATCCCAGGACACTGGTTACTGTAATTCCTTCTCCTTACCCCAAAACTATTGGCAAACAAACTCCAACAAACATTCCTCAAGACACTCCAGGAACCTTGATACCCAAGCAAAGAGCTTTGGAGCAGGAGCAGGTGATGTGAATGGGAAAGTTGGGTCTGGCGGATATTTATATCATTCTGTGGACATTACAAGGCTGCAGTCACAAAGTAATTGTGAGACCACGGACTCTCAGAGTTAATTAAACAATATCAACAGGGACACTGGAGCCTGTCACTACCACCACTCCATATACTCTTCATCTGAGAGACAATGGAATGAGCATGAGTCAGATAGAAGTGAATTCAAATGATATTACTGAGTGACTTGAACATACAGCTTTTCCAAGGCTATGTTTCCTTGGCCGCCAAATTGGGGTAATATTTTAGAAACAGCACCTCCATTAGACTATAGGTACCTTGCAGGCAGGGATCATTTGTTTTTATATACATTTATCTAGTGTTTAACAGTACCAAGCCCACAGTAGATATGGAATAAATAAATTTCTATGTAGAGGTGATCCAAGACCGAGTCCTGACTCCATCACTAATATACTCTCAGAGTGGCCCTAGGAAATTTCCTTTTTCTCCCTGGACCTCAACCTTCCTTTTTGTAAAATGAGGAGCTGGACAGGATTTTCTTTAAGCTCCCTTCCCAATCTAATATTTGACAAGTCTGTGGCCATTCAGTACACTCTACCCCATTGCTGCTCCTAGGAGTTAATTAATGCTACAGACTGAGGAGACAATAGTAAGTCACAAATCACTTTGTATTTACAGGTACACATGCATTTAAAACAGATTCTGTAAATAGCTATAATACTGTATTGCACATTTGGCCTACTTTTGCCTCTTCTGGGGTCAAGAGTTTTTTTGTTTTTAAATCTTTATTTGGATTGTTAAGCAAGATGAAAACTGGGACAAGTTGCCACTAACATATTCTGCAGCTTAAACTTTGGTGGCTAATTGCAGTATTACCATGACTGATGAACATTACACTGTAATCAGCTGGAAGCTGCTGCCTTCCATGCAGCAGAAACAAGGTCACAGAGCAGGGCTGGGGAACTGCCATCTAGCAAGCACCTCTGCTTGTCTGCTGCCCAGCAGAAGAGTTAGCCACTATTACATTTAACTCTTGATTCTATCTGTTGTCAAGAAAATTGCTCTCTTAGGGTGCCTGGGTGGCTCAGTCATTAAGCGTTTGCCTTCGGCTCAGGTCATGATCCCAGGGTTCTGGGATCGAGCCCCGCATCGGGCTCCCTCCTCGGAGGGAAGCTGCTTCTCCCTCTCCCACTCCCACTGCTTGTTTTCCTGCTCTCGCTGTGTCTCTCTCTGTCAAATAAATAAAATCTTTAAAAAAAGAAAAAAAGAAAGAAAATTGCTCTCTTACACTGGCCCCTGAGTTTTAAAGAATTTAACAATTTTTAAGTAAAAATTCAATCTTTGCCTAGATATCCAATATGAAAGAAAAGATTATTGGATATATGTCCTAAAATAACCATGGGTCATGATGAGCTCAGTCTGAAATCCCACTACTAGGGTGGATGGGTGTTACTGCCCAGAAAAATAGTAATTATGCATGACCTATATTGACTTGACAGTGTAAAAAGCACATCTAGAACCACTGCCTGAAAAGGGATCACATTCTTCTGTGGTCAAGGAAGTTAACCAAGTCACTCCTGCAAAATGCCCCATTGCTGGAGCTGGGAGGCTGCTTAAAGCACTGATTGAAAGCTAGGTAAGAATTACCTGACAAAGGCAGATACAGGGACTTGAATCTGAGAAACACTGACAATTTCTGCTCAGTCTCTTGGGACCTGGCTGCCTCAGAGCCTGACTCCTTTCCAGAAGCATTAGACATCCATCACCTTGGATTAGTCTGAATAGATGAGCAATTTGTTAACAGAGAAGAGACGTAAGTCTTTTCTCCAGTGGACTTAGAATCTGATGGCCTTGGGATCGAATCCTAACAGGGCTCTAATACTCGCTAGCTGTATCATCTTGGTCACGTCCTTAACCTTTTTGGGTCACAGTTTATTTATTAAAAATGTAGTACAGAATGTGGTCAAGAGCGTAAACCTTGGAGTCTACTGCCTGGGTTTGAACCCCAGTTGTACTATTTACTAATTATGTGACCTTAGGCAAGCTAGAGAATCTTGTTGTACCTTAGTTTCCTCATCTTTAAATGAGATTGATTATAGTGCCTCCCTCACAAAGATGTTGAGAAGCTAAATAAGATCATACATATATAGTACAGAGTAAGCATGACATCAGTGTTAGCTACAATGACATTGGGGTGATAATCCTTATCTCTTAACTTTATTTTGCAGATAAACTGAAACTTTTAAAGGTGAAAAAAAGAGTCACAGTTACTAGCACTAGAAGGGACCTTAAAGATTACCCAGATAGGGGCGCCTGGGTGGCTCAGTCATTAAGCGTCTGCCTTTGGTTCAGGTCATGATCCCAGGGTCCTGGGATTGAGCCCCGCATCGGGCTCCCTGCTCCACGGGAAGCCTGCTTCTCCCTCTCCCACTCCCCCTGCTTGTGTTCCCTCTCTCGCTGTGTCTCTCTCTGTTAAATACATAAATAAAATCTTAAAATAAAAAACCCCTCATTTTATAGGTAGGAAAACAAGACTCAGAGATGGAGTGACTGATCCAGAGTCACACTTGATTTAAGGGCAGAGTCCAGGACTCCTGATTCCAAAGTCCAAAGCTCCATCCTGTGCACATTGCATCAAAGAAAGCAACATCTCCATCGGGCTGACTCTGGAGGGTCCTTTTATGTAGTCATTGGACCTATGCACGTTAATGCACTTTCCTAGGATAATGAGATGCATTTGAAATGGAGAAAAAACTTGGAAGAGACTCTCCCCCTTCCCCCACCAACTTCTGAGGTGGCATGTTAGTGTAGGAGGAAGCTGGGGATTTGGGTCAGGCCTGGGAGGAAAGATTTTCAGGAATCACTGCTAATTCCATGTCATTATTTCAGCTAAAAACCAAACATCTGCCATGTCTAAACAAGCTAGAATCCATTCAGTTTGTTTCTGGTGTCAGAGGGTTTTTTGTGGTTTTGATTTTGGCTTAGATTTTCCCTTCAGGTGTTTAATTAAGCAGTTTCCACTAGGAGTGGTTTCACATCTACTCTTCAGTAGAAACTAAGATTTCACTCACAGGAGAATGAGTCTGGAATTGGGACCTCTGAGTTCAGTTTTTCCCAATTTTGTGAGGGTCATGCTCCCTCAGATTTATTCTGCTTTGAATCACATTTCCCAGTCAGACTACTCAGGAGTGACTGAAAGATGGGTTGGAAGAAAGGGCAGGATGGCGGGAAGACACTATGAAGAATGGCAGAACTACTTGATTTAGAGAAAGGGCAGAGGTCATGATTTCTGTTCTCAAATCATCTGAGGGTTTCAAGGGGCAGAAGGAGCATGGACTGTGAGGTCTCTGACAGCAGAGCTGGGTTAAACAGGGTGAGAAGAGGAAGAGGAATTTCCAGGGGACAGATTTCAGCTTAAAGCAAGGAAAACTTTCTGATTATGAGAGCTATCCAAAGGTGGTATGGACAATGAGCTCCCAGCCCTGCCTAGAAGGTGTGTTTTAGAAGAAAGAGGCTTGGGGGGGGGCGCCTGGGTGGCTCAGTCAGTTATGCATCTGACTCTTGATTTTGGCTCAGGTCATGATCTTAGGGTTGTGAGCTACAGACCCAAGTTAGGCTCTGTGCTCAGCAGGGAGTCTGCTGGAGAGTCTCTCTCTCTCCCTCTCCATCTGCCCCTCCCACCCCCCCACTGCTTGCTCTTTCTATCTAAATAAATAAATAAAATAAATAACATCCTTTAAAAAAAAAGAAGAAGAAAGAGATTTGGTTGTGAGGCCTAGCAGCCACTTATCAGAGATGTGAAGATTGAAATTGACTAGTCAGACTAAGTAACTCTAAATATTTCAAATTCTGGGAGTCTAAAAAACAAAGACCAATTTCATGGAGTTCCCACAGTTAAGAACCAGCTGGAAAGCAGCAAAATCAGAAAGTCATGACCTGCTCCTTTATCTTGCCTATGTTTCTCTTTTATTTCTCGTTATCTTTCTTGAGCTCACTCTCCTGCTCTTTTATATAGCAGGAACCTTTGACATTTTGCAGGGAATAATCTTTTCTTTAAGTATATTTCTGACTCAGCCTTTGCTCCTTCAGCATCATTAGAGAGTCTGAGCTCTCTGGAGATTAGCTCTGGCCTGTCACCACAGCAACTGCCCCAGGCCCTGTGGGCATCCGTGGTAACAGGCAGAGGGCTTCGAGAGTCAAAGCGTGGCTTGCAGTGAGAGGAAGCCCCACAGGGAGCCTGATATGAAACAAGCATGCTGTGTATGAGGACGTTTTCTTTAACAGGATTAGCTGTGCAGGTGGGCCGCACTTACCCAGCTGGCCAGGCCCTAAAAAGTGTGCGTATGTCAAATTTTGGTAAATGGAGGAAATCTTATTTTAAAGGCAGAAAAGAGACTCACTTTCCAAGTCCCTGAAGTGAATACCCTTTGTAAGATGGAGTCTTTTTTTGTAAAGTGAATCTCTACCCATGCTGTAACCTGGCTGTTAGTCTAGGACTGGGTGTCTACTAGCAGGACCATCTGCAGAGAACTCAAGGGGCATGCTTCCGCCTCCATTGCAGGCAAAGGTCAGTGACAACGCAGCCTGCTTGGGGCTGGGGGTGGACAGAGTGTAATGGGGAAAGCAGAGTGGGTGTGGGGTCACAAGAAGGGGAGATCAGGAGGGTGGGCCTTGCCTAACACGAGCAGTTCTGCTGCAGCAGCGGTGGGGTGTCCGAGAGACGGGTGTTCTTGGAGGTGCCCAACATGGAGGGGTCCGTGTCCAGCGAATCAGACATCTTGTCACAAATGGCATCTACCAGCCGCTCGAAGGCCTGCCTCACACTGATGTTCTCCTTGGCGCTGGCTTCAAAGAAGTCAAACCCTAAGAAGAGAAGAGAGGTAACAGTAAGGATTATCCTTTCCTTTTTATGCCCCCTGGCCAGACCACTCTGGATTAGTATAGCCAGTGCAAAGGAGTGAAGCAAGGAGGCCTAATTCCATGGCAGAGGATTCGGCTCTAAAGAGATGGTACAGGGGTGCCTGGGGTGGCTCAGTCAGGCAAGCATTTGCTTCAGCTCAAGTTGTGGTCCTGGGGTCCTGGGATCGAGCCCGGCCTCGGGCTCCCTACTCAGTGGGGAATCTCCTCTCCCTCTCCTTCTGCCCCTCCCCTGCTCATGCTCTCTCCCTCTCGTTCACTCTCTCTCAAATATATAAATAAAACCTTTAAAAATTAAAAAAATTTTAAAAATAATTAAAAATAAATAAATAAACAGATGGTACAGGGCAGGGATTACCTGCACTGGTTGTAGAGTCAGACAGATCCTGGTTCTACCATTGGCCAGCTGTGTCACCCCAGCAAGTCACCTAATTCTCTTTAAGACTCAATTCTCTGGCTTATAAATAGGGATAATTTTACCTACCTCATTAAACAAGATAATGTAGATAAAGTGTATAGTGCTGTGTCTGATACAGAGTGGGGGTCATTAGGTGTTTTCTGAAAGACTGAATACTTCAATATTTGTACATAGCACTTCACAGTTTTCCAATGCATTCATCACATCCATTACGTCATCTGATCCTCAAGTCACCCCCGGGAGAAGGAATGTCTGGGCAGACCCTCTCCATTTCACTAATGCAGACACTGTGGCTTAGAGAAATAAGCTGACTTGCCCAAGATAAATAGAGGAACCAGTGTGAGAAGTCCAGGCTCTGACCTTTTTGACTAGGGTTTTTCCTCCTCTATTCCCCTGCCTTCCACTCACCTCAGCCTACCCAGCTCTAGTCTAGGATCTGGAAGGCACCCCAAGATCCACAATGAACAAGCAAAGCTTCATTTGCCCTTTCCACCCCAGACACACTGGCTAATCCCCACTCCCTGAGGTTCCTCCTCCCGGATCCCCCTGGAATTCCCCTGTATCTCTCCCTGCCCCCACAAACCCAACAAAAGGCACCTGCAGGACTGCACCTGAAGTGTGAGATATTCTTGTCTGTTTTGTACCTTCAGATCCTTAACGACACTTTCTGTGACAATGAACAGAACTTGGGTGTCCTGGGAGACATAAGAGAGGCCCTCCTGATTCAGACAAAGTGGCTGCTTCCCAACTGTGGAATTTGGCCAGTTGGAGGCCAGTGCTCCACATGCCCCTGTCCCAGCCTTCTTCCTCTTTTGTCCATCTATCTTCCTCCTTCTTTTCCTTCCAGGCCCATCTTTTTTTCTCCTCAAAAGCTTCTCTCTTCCCTTTTTTTTCATGTCACTCCTTCCTTTCCCTTATGTTCCTCACACTTTCTCCTTGGGATTCTTTTTGTTGAGCACCTACTAAACGTCAGACACTATGCCAGGAGCTTGGGAAATACTGTCTTACTTAATCCTCACAACAGCCTGTGGGTAAATATAATCATCTTCAATTTATAAATGAGAAAATGCCTTCAAGAGATTACATAACTTACACAAGGTCACATGGCTATTCGTGGAAATTGGGTTTAGATCTGGGTTTGACTGGCTCCAAGTCCATACACAGCCCTGTCTCCCACTTCTCTTCCCCCCTTTCTTTTTTTTTTTTTTTCCTTTCTCCCTTTCAATTTCCTTCCTTCCTTGACCATATCTTTCTCTTCTTTACAAGTCTCTTTGGCCCCCTCTGGTTTTTTTGTTTTTTTGTTTTTTTAAGATTTTATTTATTAGAGAGAGAGAGCACGCACGCTTGAACAGGGAAAGGGGTAGAGGGAGCTTCTCTGTAGTGGGAGAAGCAGACTCCCTACTGAGTAGGGACAAAGGGAGACCAAATCTAATCATGGAAAAGACACACTAATCAGAGTTTCAATCCCTCACATGTGCATAGTCTGTAACAGTTCAAAGATACAATTTTAAAACCTTGTGAGTAGCGCAAGGCAAGGCAGGAGTTATTTGTAATTTACAGATAGTAACACCTAGACTCAGAGATGGGCATAAGCCAGGGCTCTATCCCTTATGTCCCCTTGTCTTGCTCTCAGTTGGAACAGTGACCGAACACTATAACATTTCTAACCCAGGTAGAACAAACCAGAGGCTGTGCAGGAATGCAGTGGGGAGAGAGTGGCAGGGGAAGAGAGCAGGAGGAGGCTTCCCGAAGTTGGTGGAGAGGGGAGAGTTTAAGACTAGAATTGAGCAAAACTCTTCACCTAACTAACTTCTCATTCTTCAGGACTCAGCTTAGATACAGCCCCTTCATTTACCTCTGTGCTTCCCTCTGCTATAGCACGTTACCCTGCATGGTAGAAGTCCATTTGACGAGGAGCTCCCTGAGCAGGGATCATGTCATTCATCCGAGCCCCAGCACTAGCCAGAGGAATAGGTGCTTGGTGAGTGTCGACTGATGGACAGAAGAATGAAGGAGGTGGGAATGAGCATGGAGGGTGTGGACAGTGGGGGTCATGAGAGCTCAGCTCAACAGGCATGAGGACACTGAGGTGAATCAATAGTTCTTACCCTTGAGGAGCTCCTAGTCTAGTGTGGGAAACAGACACACTGACAATAGTAGAATGATAAATGCTGGGATGGTGGGAAGTGGGGATTAGCAGGGCACAAGAGGAGGCACCTAACTGTCTTGGGGGCCAGGGAAAGCTTCTTGGACAAGGTGATTCCTAAGCAGATATCAGCTAGATAAAGACAGGTGATTGTGAGTGTATGTGTGAACACATGCATGTGTAGCGTACCAGGCAGGGGAAACAGCATGAGCACAGCTAATGGGGCAAAAAACAGCCTTGGTATATGCCAGAATGGCCATAGCAGTTTGTTATCATTAGAGCAGAAAGCTCAAAGTGATGAGAGATGAGGCAGTAAGTCTTGTGGAGACTCAGAGAGCTTGTATGTCATGTCAAGGAGATGTCGTCACTGTCATCTCAAAGGTACCCAAGGTATGGGAACTCTGATTCAAATAACCAGCTCATGGCCCTAGCCAGCTCATGGGTCTCTCTTCCTAGCAGAACGACCCCAAATGCACACCCACCCAATTACTGTCATACTTCTGGAAGGCCCTTCATTAGCAGGCCCAGATGGTAACCTTTTCCTCAGGTTCATTAATAAGGATTCTCAGGAGCCGAGAACCTAGTGAGGTAAGGAAGATGACAACAAATTAATCAGACTAGCCCTCAATCCTTTCCTCCCTCTAATTGGCTTCAGAACAATAATCCACACCACCCCCCATGATCATGTTTACCTATCCTGTCCAAAGGCAGCTGCCACAGACCCACAGACTCTAGTTTGTCCACACTCCCTACTCCTGAATTTGACCTCAGAATTCTATTCAAAACTCATAACCAACTGAACTCACCTCTCCTCATCCTGATACTGCCCCAGAACACTTCTCCTCCACTTTTATCTTCAAATTCCTTTTCTATCTCTCTCTGATACCTCCCATCTCTGTCACGTATCAATCTTCAACTCATGCCCCTCTGGTCACTGATGATTTGGCCAGGGACTCACTGTGTTCCTTTCTGTCCAGAGTTGTTCCCTGGACACCTAAAATAAGCACCGCAGTGTACAAGGGTCTGTGGAGTCCGAGTGATAAGTAGGAATTATGTGAATTGAAATCATAGAATCAAAGAGGGATAGAGCCAAATGGACCTTCCCACTCAACAAATCTGAATCCCGTTTTTCCGATGGGCAAACTAAGACCCAAGGACAGGAAACAAGATGCTCAAGGTCACATAGTAAACTAGTGGCAGAAACAGAATAAAACCCTCAGCCTCCTAACTCCTAGTCTGGTGCTTTTCCCACTATACTTTGCTGGAGTGAGTGTATGTGTGTGTTCCAAAACCACATTGTAAATGAGTCTCTCCTTCCTTTGTAGGCAGAAGTACATTTCTCCTTTACTATCCTTTAGGCTTTGGCAGACTCATTCGCATTCAGATCTAGGGAAGGAAAAAGAAGCCCATTTCTGAGGGGCACAGGAGGGCAGAGGCCCTAAAATGCCATGCTTCTTAGAACAGGAGTCCCTGAAACTCCCTCACTCTCCCAAAGATCCACTTGCCTCAGTGACTCCAGTCTCACCCATGTCCCAGGAACTTTGAGGATATTGACAGCCTGCTGCTACTCCCAATTTTAAAAAAAGCTAGCTGCTGGCCATATCACTAGTCTTGGCCTAGTGAGCTGAGAAAAGCTAAAGGAAAGGGAGTCCTGAAGAGGAATCCCATAAAGCAGAAAAGGGGCACTACTGTGGTGGCCAGCAGACCACTGAAACTTCCTTAATTGCCAGCATAGCAGAGGGATAGGACTGATGTGGGGATGAGGAAAGCTGAGCACCCTCCCTCACTGCTCCCAGATCCGATCACATCCTTGCAAAATACTTAACATGGTCCACGGGATCCTTCATGAACTGGCCCCTGCCTACCTACTCTCATCTCTCACTACTCTCCCCTTGATTATCTAGTCCCTGTGGCATGGGCTTCTTTCAGTATCATGAGTGCGTCAAGCTCTACCCCACATTAGGACTATTCTTGATCTGGAATATGGCCCTCTGCCTCCCCCCACACACACACCCACACACCCACACCCACACACACCCACTCTTTGCCTGGCTAACTTTTTCTCATCTTTTAGTTCTCAGCTTCAGTGTTACTTTCTCAGAAGATCTTGATTCTCCAGTCTAAAATTAGGTTTCTCTTTCTCACTTTCTTCATAGCACTTGTAACGTATGTTACTTTTATCTGCCCACCATTCCTTCCTTTAGGGAATCACTATTTTAAAGAGTTGTGGTGACACTATAGGTTATCATACCCGCCTCCTCATCCACTGGGACAGGCCCGTGACTCACAGGTGGCCAATCATAGTCTTCCCTGACATTGATATGTGGTGGTTGGGACAGAGAAGGCCTTTTTTTGCAGGAATTGGGAAGATATGAATCTGGAGCTTCCATCATCCATTTTACTCCTCATGCAGAGTTTGACTGGGAAAGGAAGGAGGCTAAAGGGATAAGCAAAGTTGAGAAATGGAAAGTGCAATTGAATCCTGAGTCTAGTGGACCTTCCAGCTACATGAGCTAATAAATTCTATTTTTAAAAAAATTAAAGCTAGTTTGATTTGGGATTTTATCACTTGTCATAACAAGAGTCCTAACTCACGCAGAACTTACCACAATTTCTAACAGGTTTATTGAGATATAATTCATACACCATTCAATTTGTCTATTTAAAACATTTTAAATTATATATTGGATTAATTATTTATTGTCCCTTTTCCATTAGTTCCATAAGAATAAGTATCATAGCTGTTTCATTCACTATTATATCCCAAGTACCAAGACAGAACCCAGCTCAGAGTAAGTGCTCAATGAATAAGTGAATAAATGTATGAATGAATGAATATCTAACTTATGCTGGGTGCTTATGATAATGAACCAAATTAGACATAACCTTGTTGCTCTCGAGGTCTAGCAAGAGAGATAGGTCTCTAAATAGGGAAATATTGGTAAGCAATAGAGGAAAGCCCAGGAAATTATGTAGGACAGACATGGTTTACTATGACCTGCCCAAAATTTGACCTATTCATTGAAGCCTACTTTAAGTGCCTCCCTAAACCCTGCACTAAGAATTAATCTGACTTCATCTATGTTCCTATATAAATTTGATAGATCTAAACTGACTCCACTACTTCTTAACTGCATAAACTTGAGCATATTATTTAACCCCTCTGAACTTCGTTTTTCAGAGTATTAGACATACCCTATAGTACCTACTTGGAAGGGTTATAGTGAGAATTAAATGAAATAATTAATACATAGCATCTCATATAATGCCTGGATCAATACATATCACCTATTACCGTATTTCTTGTACAGTGAGGTTAAGTAGTTAGGACCACAGGCTATGGAGCCAGACTACTGCTTGGGTTCAAATTCTGACTCTACCTGTTACTACCTGTGTGACTTTAGCAAGTTACTCAATTTCTCTGTGCCTCAGTTTTCTCATCTGTTTAAAAAAAACACACACACAATTTAGAGATAAGAGAAGTACGTATGTCAGAGGGCTCCAGGGAGATTAAATTAACTGAGTAATACTTTAAAACACTTAGAATAGTGCCTGGCACAAGGTAAACACCTAATAAATATTTAACCAACTCACTTTTAACAAATCTTAGTCATAAGGGCTTGGCATGCCAATTATATTTTTTCCAAATACACCTTTTAAAACTTAGTCTTGTTTAATTCTAAGGGTTTGACACGCTGATTATATATATATTTTTTCCAATACATACATAAAATCATCTTACACACTTCCAGTGGCATAAGTCTTTCTTTTGGGAAATGCTACTCTCAACTCACACAAATTTATAGTTCCCTGAACACACATGCTGTTCCTTGCCTTTGCCAGTGTCATTCCCCTGAAATGTCCTTGCTTCTCCTCCTCACTTGGCTGCTCCTATTTTTGTCTTCAAGACTCAGCTTGGGCATCATGTTCTCTGATCCCCACTGAGTTAGGTGCCTCCTCTGCCCACCCCCAAGCCCCAGCGCATCCCTCTATCACACTGATCACTCAGGGTATCACTGTTTCTGTCCTTCAGACAGGGGCGTGTGATCCTATTTCACAGCTCAGTACCTGGCATAGAGTAGGCACTCAGGAAGTCTTAACTGGACTGAAATAAAATGAAGTAGCCTAATACTTAACATAAATAAAATTTAATCAAAACATATTTTTGCAGTGTCTACTCAGTGCCAGGCCATATAAGTAGGCACTGTTGGCACAAAAATAAACTAGACTCATTTCCTGTCCTCATGGAACTTGAGGGGAGATGGACAAGTAAACAAGTGTACCCAAGTGTGACTGGGACTGTGTCTGCTGTGTGTGAGGTGAGGCCATGAAGAAAAGAGCTCTGGGGGCCAGGAGAGGTTTCATAGTGTGAGCTGTTTTGAAAAGTGAGTGGAGGTTTACCGGCTGGTTGAGGGTAATGGGGTGGGGAATAGAAGAGAGCACTCTAAACAGATGGGGTGTAGCCACTCCAGGGAAAGTGCTGGGAGTCTCCCTGGGGACAGCAGGTTGAAGGCATAAAGTGATACCTAAGGTCACCCAAATGTATGCTTCACCACATGCTCACTGTTTTTTGAACCAGGGGGACAGGTAGAGGTACTTTTTTTTTCCCTGATGGGGAAATAACAGCAAGATCCAAGATAACCCAACCTCCCTCTTTATTAAACACCTACAGTTTGCTAATTTCTATTCCAGGCCACCCTGGGGAATAAGGGAGGGAAGAAAGAAGTATAAGACACTCTCCCACACATGTACTCATAATACACATAATACAAATATACACCACACACAACTCACATTTGTATATTATACAGTTTGCCCGCCCACAAGCCCAAATATCTATACTTCAGAGACCATCAGAGAAAATAACTTTAAACTCCCTACTCCTCAATATTTACAACACCTAGGTTATGAGACATATTTAGGGAAACTGGCTAAAAGTTAAGCAATATATCCTTTCTTCTGGGGAAGTTTTCTCCGAGGTGATCCCATATTGAACCCCAATATAGAAAAGAAAGGAAAAGAAAAGGAAACAAAACAAAACAAAACAAAACAAAAGGGGGAAGCCTGGGTGGCTCAGTTGGTTAAGTGTCTGCCTTCAGCTCAGGTCATGATCTCAGGGTCCTGGGATCGAGCCCCATATCGGGCTCCCTGCTCAGTGGGGAGCCTGCTTCTCCCTCTGCCTGCAGGGCTCTCTCTCATGCTGTGTCTCTCTGTGTCAAGTAAATAAATAAAATCTTAAAAAAGAAAGGCAAGGGAAGGCAAGGAGCTGCTCTTTGAAGCAAGTATTGGTCGGAGTTCTGCTGTGGAGCCACTGAGACACATCTGAGGAACCGGGTCTCAGAGAAGCACAGAGATAAAAGTGCTTTAACCTTGGAAAATGCCAGAGCATCACTTAAACCACATTGTTTCATCCCTTCATACAATTACTTTTGTTGTGAATTGTGTTTTAGTAAAGAAACATCAGTTTACATTGAGGGAAATTCTAAGACGTAATGTTGTGGTTGCTGTAAGGACGTTTGATATTAAGGACATTGTCTCATCCAGCATATAGAGTCTGCTCTACAGTTGCACAAGAGAAGTGCTTCTCTGAATAATGGGTTTTTTTATTTTAAGGACCATCTCAAGACTGTGTATGTTTCTTGCCTTGCATGGCTGGTAAGGAAGCTCAAAGCCAATATTTTGGCCCAACTCTTACACATGCCTGGGAACTTAAAACATACCCACTTATCTCACACCGGCTTCCTCTTATTTTCTTCTACCTTTGTTTTCCCTTTACTCCAATTTTCTTATTTTTTAATTGGTGTACTATGATTTTTTTTTAAAGATTTATTTATTTGGGGGTGCCTGGGTGGCTCAGTCAGTTAAGTGTCTGCCTTCAGCTCAGGTCCTGATCTCAGAGTCCTGGGATCGAGCCCCACGTCGGGCTCCCTGTTCAGCGGAGAGCCTGCTTCTCCTTCTCCTACTCCCCCTGCTTGTGTTCTCTCTCTCTCTGTGTCAAATAAATAAAATCTTAAAAATATTTATTTATGTATTTGGCAGACAGCTAGAGAGAGAGCACAAGTAGGCAGAGTGGCAGGCAGAGAGAGAGGGAGAAGCAGGCTCTCTCCTCTGAGCAGGGAGCCCGATGCAGGACTCAATCCCAGGACCCGGGGATCACGACCTGAGCCAAAGGCAGCTGCTTAACCGACTGAGACACATAGGCATCCACTATGATGATTTTTATAAGACACCTCAAAGCCTTTGTGGAAGGAACTGGTGAAAAAAAGTTCGTAAGTTTAAATTATACTTATTAATTCAATGTAACAAAATACACACATCGTAAATAAAACAACAACAACAACAACTTACCTAAAATTCTCTAGCACAAAGCTTACATGCATATGGCACAAATATAAAACAATACACACAGAGCACACATGCACATAATTCACAATCACAACACACCCTTATATCACACTCCCATGTAAACATGTACACATGCACATATGTCATGCCCATACCAAGCTGCTCTGCAAGGAGCTGGCCCTTCTCGGCGGGAACAACCCTCTCTTCCTCCATATCACACTTGTTCCCAACCAGGATAACCTGTGCATTGTCCCAGGAGTAGGTCTTGATCTGAGTAGCCCTAAAGAGAGACAGAGAGAGGACTGTGTTAATGACATCCTGCTATGCTGGAAAGGACCCTGCAAAACTCAAAGACATGGTTTCCCTTCCAGGGGGCTTGCTACACCCAAGTTACGTCAATGAACTCAGCTGAGGACAAACGGATGCCTGCCCCAGCTGGCTGTCACAGCTGCTGACCCATAAGCTCTTCTTGCAAACCTTACCCAGCTCCCAGAAGCCTTCCTCTAATACATATGCCCATCCCTCCCCTCACTGGGCAGAGAGCTCTTTCTAAAACATCCTTTTTTTTTTTCTTTTTAAGATTTTATTTATTTATTTATTTATTAAGATTTTATTTATTTGACAGAGAGAGACACAGCAAGAGAGGGAACACAAGCAGGGGGAGTGGGAGAGGGAGAAGCAGGTCTCCCGCTGAGCAGGGAGCCCGATGTGGGACTCGATCCCAGGACCCTGGGATCATGACCTGAGCCACAGACAGATGCTTAATGACTGAGCCCCTCAGGCGCCCCAAGATTTTATTTATTTATTTGTCAGAGAGAGAGAGAGAGAGCACAAGCAGGGGAACGGCAGGCAGAGGGAGAAGCAGGCTTCCCACTGAGCAAGGAGCCCAACGTGGGTCTCAATCCCAGAACCTTAGGATCGTGACCGAAGCCAAAGGCAGACATTTAACTGACTGAGCCACCCAGGCGTCCCTAAAACATCTATCTGACCACGGTAAGTCCTTTCTTAAAAGGACTCTCCTCTGGCCCCCTGATTAGCGTGTGATGAAGTCTAGATCCCTCAGGTGTTCAAGACCATTCACATCCTGTCTCTGCAGCTTTATTCCACTTCTCTCCCATCCCAAAATGCTCTTCCATGGCATGACTGGGAGTCCCTTCCCCACACTAACTCATCCCCCAGGGCCCAGTGCTGATCTCATAATTCCTGGGGAGAAGCCTTCCCAGGCTTTCTCAGGCCCAACTACCCTCTCTCTCCTCCTCCTCTGTGACTTATAAACATTCACTGAGGCCTCAGATGGTGATTATTTGTAGAAACCAAAATGTCAGCAGTGGTTTCCTTCACATAGGATGGTTATGAAACTTTTTAAAAATACTTTTCTGTAGGGGTGTCCGGGTGGCTCAATTGGTTAGGCAACTGACTCTTGATTTTGGCTCAGGTCATGATCTCGGGTCATGGGATCGAGCCTAGTATCAGACTCCAGCTCAGTGCAGAGTCTGCTTGTCCCTCTCCCTCTCCTCCTGCCCCCTCCCTGCTCACTTGCTCTCGCTCTGTCTTTCTCGAATAAATAAATAGAATCTTTTAAAAAAATGCTTTTCTTGGGGCACCTGGGTCGCTCAGTCGGTTGAGTGTCTGCCTTCGGCTCAGGTCATGATCCCGGGGTCCTGGGATCAAGCCCCACATCGGGCTCCCTGCTCAGCGGGAAGCCTGCTTCTCCCTCTCCCACTCCCCCTGCTTGTGTTCCTTCTCTCGCTGTGTCTCTCTCTGTCAAATAAATAAATAAAATCTTTAAAAAGTGGCGTTGAGCCTAACTCTGTCTCTAACCACCCCATCAAATAGAAATGATTACTTCTCCTTTTGGTCCCCTACACCTTTACCATGGCACCTGCTACATTTGGCTGAATTTATAAGTCTCTCCTTGAAGGCAGGGATAGTCTCATTCATCTTTGGAGTGCCAGTCCCCAGCACAGAGCACAGGTGTCAGCAACTGTCCGATGAATGAGTAAGCCAGCTAATGGTTAATCCTGAAGCAGATCTTAAATGTTACCCTATCCTGACACCGACACTCAGTCTAACTCAACCCTAACTGCAACCTGGACCTATTACCGACTCTACTCGTAAAGCTGATCCCCCACTAATCTTCTCTCTAAGGGTGAGAAGCCATTCCTTCAAGGTACAGAATTCACTCAGCCACATTTGTTGTGGGCTGACAAAGAGCCAGGTTCTGTGCTGAGAACTGGGGCTTAGATGGCTAGTCCAGGACCAAGTTGCTCAGAGGCAAAACTGAAAGGCCAGGGCTTGGGAGAAATAGACATTCAATCTTTAGCCTCAAGGCAGGTAACTGGAGCCAAGTCTCCATGTCTCCCCATACTCCTCTTCCTGTCATCTTCCTCCCTCCTCCCACCCTCATCCACTCTCAGCTCCCAGATTAGCAACTCAGGTTATTCTTGGAGGAACTGTCACCAAGTGTTAAACTCACTGTGTTCCTGAGACAGAATGAACAGGGACTGATGGTAAAAGGAGGAAGGTCAGGCCAACAGGGAATGAGCAGTGTGAAGACACTTAAAAAAACAGCTAATCACTCCAGGGTAGGAGGTGGAGGGAAAGATGGAGAAGGGGGGGAAAGAGGAGGAGGGGAGACAAATCATGACTGTAGAGAAGAGAGGGAATAAAAGGGGGGAAAGGAAGAGAAAAGGGAAGAGAAAAAAAGGGAGTAAAGAGAAAAGAGAGGAAGGAAAGGAGGAAAAGGAAGATAGAGGGTACTTGTTAGAAGAGAAGAAAGAGAAAGGAGGAAGGGGAAGATGCCCGGTAGGCTGGGAAGGAGAACGTCAACCACCATGAAGGTCAGACATGTGCACGGCACCCTGGACAGGCTGCAAAGCCACTCTCAGCTCCAGGCTACAAGGCACTCACAGGACTTCACAGATCATGGCAACTGTTCAGTCGGAGAAGGGAAGTCCTCAAAGGGTGGCTATTATGCAAAGGGGAACGGGAGATAAGCTTGGCGCTGGCCAGTGCTGCTGCTGTATGCCTGGCCTGCTCAGCCTCTCTGATTCTGAGCAAGACCCATGGCACAGATGTTCCACCTTCTCCCACCTTCATCCTTTCCACTGGGCAAGGGCTCCAGCCCTCCCTCTCACCTAACCTTCCCCTCAGCTCCTTTCTCCCAGTGAGTTATGCTCCAGGAAGAAAGATGTAAGTTACTCAGAGGTTGTACATCTGGAGCTGTGCTGATTTCCACCGTGTGTTGAATCTTTACAAACTTGGGCCAGATGTGCTCTTTTTTTTAAAAAAAGATTTTATTTATTTTATTTGAGAGAGAGAATGAGAGATAGAGAGCACGAGAGGGAAGAGGGTCAGAGGGAGAAGCAGGCTCCCCGCTGAGCAGGGAGCCCGATGTGGGACTCGATCCCAGGACTCCAGGATCATGACCTGAGCCGAAGGCAGTCGCTTAACCAACTGAGCCACCCAGGCGCCTGGATTGGATGTGCTCTTAACCCCCAGCCTAGGGATAAACTTTATGGGGGAGTGGTATGTGCATTCACTCACTGCTGGAACCGGAATAATCTTTCCAAAACATGAATCTGAACCTGCTGGTTCTCTGTTCAAATGTCATCGCCTAGGGGATAAACTCCAAACTCCTTACCCCAGCACACAAAATTCTTCATGACCTCTGCTCTCCCTGTACCGTTCACTTACTGTCTCACCTTTGCACATCTGCATTCTTTTCCTGGAACATTCTTATCTACTCACTCCCTGGCTAACTCCTGCTTCATCTTACAAAATGCAGCATCTGTGTCAGCAACTCCAGGATCCCTTCCTTGACTCTCCAAGCTGGGTCAGAGCCCTCTGTTGGGCTCCCACAACCCTGGTGCCTCTCCTCATTACTGCACATGTCATATGATATTCTCACTGCTTGCTTACTGATCTGTGCTTTCCTCTCATCTGTGAGCTCCTGGAGGCCAGGAGCCATGTCTGATTCATCCAGATTGCCCTGGCATAAAGCACAAGGCCTAGCACACATTAGGTTTTTCTAGACAGTTTGATGAATAATGAATGAGTGAGGTGAATGAACGAATCTCATACCAATCTTGGACAGCATTGAAGGAATCCTCATTGGTAATGTCATACATCAGAATGAAGCCCATGGCCCCACGGTAATAGGCTGTTGTGATGGTCCGGTACCGCTCTTGTCCAGCTGTGTCCTGGGTAGGAAAAAGAAAGAGGTAGCCTCCTAGAAAGTCTACTTTTGTTCCTAAAAAGTCCTCAGAATAATTAACAAATAACCCAAGGTATATTTAAGGAGCACCTGTTATGTGTCTTATATTGTACTTGGTGGGTAGAATAAAATGGTTTTTAAAACCTCATAAAAATTTGGGCACCTGGGTGGCTCAGTCAGTTAAGTGTGTGCCTTCAGCTCAGGTCATGGTCTCAGGGTCCTGGGATCGAGCCCTGTGGTGGGCTCCCTGCTCAATGGGGAGCCTGCTTCTCCCTCTCCTTCTGTTCCTACCCCCCCCATACTCTCTCTCTCTCTCAAATAAATAAAAATCTTTAAAAAATAAATAAAACCTCATAAAAATTAATAAGAAAATAATTAAGGAGTGCCTGGCCAGCTCAGTCAGTAGGGCAGGCAACTTTTGATCTCGGGGTCATGAGTTCGAGCCCCATGTTGAGGGCAGAGTTTACTTAAGAAAAAAAAAAGGAAGAAAGAAAATAATTGAAATTCCAACAGAAAAAAGGGCAAGCCCTGCATTGGGCTCCCTGCTCAGCAGGGGGGGCCTGCTTCTCCCTCTCCCACCCACCCCCGCTTGTGTTCCCTCTCTTGCTGTGTCTCTCTCTGTCAAATAAATAAATAAATAAATAAATAAATCTTTAAAAAAAAGATTTTAACTATTCTTAATTATAATTCTCATTATAGATGAGGATGTAGTGAGATGTGCAACCTCACTCCTTGCTCATGGAAACTTGGTTCAGTCTTTCTGAAAATCAATTTGGAAGTCTCAAGACCATTAAAAATATTTGCAGACTGAAGGTTCTAGAGGGGAGGGGGGTGGGAGGATGGGTTAGCCTGGTGATGGGTATTGAGGGCACGTTCTGCATGGAGCACTGGGTGTTATATGCAAACAGTGAATCATGGAACACTACATCAAAAACTAATGATGTAATATATGGTGATTATGTATGTATGTATGAATGTATGAACATAACATAATAAAAAAATACAGAAAAAAATATTTGCACTCTTAACACAGAAATTTTCTTCCTCAAAACTTTTGCTACAAAATTAGAAAATCAGCCCTATGCACAAAAATATTTGTTGGGACAGGAGACAATGCTTGTATATGTGATATAATATCAGTTTTGTAACTATATATGCAGAGAAGAAAACATCAGAAGATTAATAGTGATTATCTCTGTATGAGAGTCAAGAATTACAGGGATTTTAAACTTTTTCATGCACTTTTATTTCCTCTACAATAAGCACATATTACTCTTACATATGGAGAAACAAATACTTTGCTTAAAATCCTTTAACAATCCTTTTTTTTAATAAAGATTTTATTTATTTATTTGTCAGAGAGAGAGCACAAGCAGGGGGAGTGGCAGGCAGAGGGAGAGGGAGAAACAGGCTCCTTGCTGAGCAAGGAGCCGGACGCGGGACTCCATCCCAGGATCCTGGGATCATAACCTGAGTCGAAGGCAGGTGCTTAACCAACTGAGCCACCCAGGCGTCCCCCAACACAATTCTTTATCTCAAGCAGATCACAGTCTAGTTGGAAAGACAGACATATAAGCAAGGAAGCAAAAACAAGACCAACAGTAAAATGTTATTGGAGCACATTGGGATGTTTCACGTATGTCCACACAGTCCTTATGTGAGGGACCATCCAATCTTCTGTTTCATTACAATTTTAGAATGCATGATACTTGAGCATGTATAAAACATCTCTTCGTATATTAGCTTACTTAAATTTTATAAAATCCCTGTGAGGTAGGTATTATTAGCATTTACATTTTATTGTTGAGAATGCAAAAATGCAGCCAGGGTAAGTGACTTTCCCAAGGTCATAAAGCTACTGACAAAAGCTATGCCTTAAATCCAGGGCTTCTGATTCCAAGTCCAATGCACAAAGCACTAACCCTCAATCAATGAAGGATGTGTGCACAAATACTTCCTGAACACAATCTATAATGATAATAAAAACAAATAAGGGAACAATAATAACTACAGTATGCCATTATTTGTACATATGTTGCACCTGTTATCCACATACTTCAGAAAAACCCTGTAGGATATATATGGCTACTCCACTTTACTCCAGATGAGGAAACTGAGGCTCTGAGAGATTGCCACTAAGTGTCAGAATTGTGATTCAAAATAAAGTCTATCTGACCCCTACACTCATTACAATTTATACCTTAGCCATGAACCATACCTCGTGTGATTTAACATAAAACAAACACTATCCCTGCCCTCAGGGAGCCTCAGTAGAAGTGCAGAGGTAGCTAAGACATACACCAATAGACTGATAATAAGAAATATGTGGCAATATGTCATGAGTTCCAGATAATCAGTATGAAGAAAATGTGTTACACAAGGCAGGTAAGGTAGAAACATGGTGGTTTTGGGTAATTATAGAAGATGTCAAAGCAGAGATAGTGTATCAGCTACGATATACTGAGTTATTCAATAACAAAGCAATCCCCAAATCTCCACAGCTTAAACAAGGTTTTATTTTTTACTATTGCTCCATATCCATTAAGCATTGGCTGGGTGCTCTGCTTTTTGTCTTCCTTATTCTAAGATAAAGAGTGACAGAGCAGCTACCAGAGGGGAAAAGTGTGTGAGTCATGTGTTGGCTCTTAAAACTTCCACTTCTCCCATTTCACTAGCCAAAGCAAGTCACACACCCACATCCAAGAAAATGCAATCTTATAATATGTCCAGGAGGAGAATCATAAATGTGGTAGACAGCATAGCTCCCACTAATGGAATCTGTACCAAGTCCAGAAGCATTGGCCTGAAGATGTGCTTATTTGACAATAGTAGGAGGACAACAAGGACTTTTCTTTTTTTTTTTAATTATTATTTTATTTATTTGACAGAGAGACAGCGAGAGAGGGGAACACAAGCAGGGTGAGTGGGAGAGGGAGAAGCAGACTCCCCACTGAGCAGGGAGCCCGATGCAGGGCTCGATCCCAGGAGCCCGATGCGGGGCTCGATCCCAGGAACCCGGGATCATGTCCTGAGCCGAAGGCAGACGCTTAACGACTGAGCCACCCAGGTGCCCCAACAAGGACTTTTCTATTTTTTTTTTAAAGATTTTATTTATTTATTTGAGAGAGAGAGAATGAGAGATAGAGAGCACGAGAGGGAAGAGGGTCAGAGGGAGAAGCAGACTCCCTGCTGAGCAGGGAGCCCGATGCGGGACTCGATCCCAGGACTCCAGGATCATGACCTGAGCCGAAGGCAGTTCCTTAACCAACTGAGCCACCCAGGCACCCCAACAAGGACTTTTCTAAAGAAGAATTTTCCAAGCAGAGAAGTGAAGGAAAAGTATTTTGGCAGAAGGAAGAGTTTTTGCCATTGAGTACTCCAAAAGAAAAGGAATGGCAGGAAATGGGAAATGGGTACGTGCTGAAACTAGAAAGAGTTTTAAATGTTGTGCTATGGGGTTTGGACTTTATCTTTTTTTTTAGGCTCCATGCCCAGCACAGAGCCCAATGTGGAGCTCGAACTCATGACCCCAAGATCAAGACCTGAGCTGAGATCAAGAGTCAGACACTCAACCAACTGAGCCACCCAGGCACCTCTGGACTTTATCTTTTAAAATAAAAGATTTTGAGGCAGGGAATTAATATAATTAGATCTGAACTTTATTTAGAAAGATCACTCTGGCTGTGATGTGGAGAATGCACTGGAAAAAGAGATGGGAAACAGGAAGGCTAGTTAGAAGATCTTTGCAGTGGTTCAAATGAGTCCCAGTAAGGATTGAACTAGAGTGGTAGCAATGAGAATGGAGTAGAAACAGATCCAAGAGATGTTTAAAAGGTGAACTGTAGGGCATGGTGATGGATTAGAGGTGAAGAGATGAGAAATCAAAGATAAGTTATGTTTCTGGCAGTGCTCATTTTCTCCATGTCCTCAGCAATTCAGCTCTGGCCCAGACTTGCACAACCTTACTCAGCAAAACAAAATCTGTACTTACTACACCCACCATCCTTGGGGAGCATATAAATCTCCATCTCCTTTTGTTGAGCACAGTCTTTGGGTGTCTTACTCTTCACCTCAAGCAGCTTTATTCCTTCTAACCACATATAGTACTTCTCCCTAAGAGTTCTGGCAAATAGGGGCACCTGGGTGGCTCAGTCATTGGGCGTCTGCCTTTGGCTCAGGTCATGGTCCCAGGGGCCTGGGATCGAGCCCTGCATCAGGCTCCCTCTCAGTGGGAGGCCTGCTTCTCCCTCTCCCACTCCCCCTGCTTGTGTTCCCTCTCCTGCTATGTCTCTCTCTGTCAAATAAATAAATAAAATCTTTAAAAAAAAAAGCATTCTGGCAAATATAATTTTCTCCAGTTCATAAATGAGTGAGCAGATGAATGAATGAATGAGTGAAGAGATGGATGAGTGAGTGAACACGTAACTTAGGCACTACTGAGAGAAATGTTTGCCTTACCTACACAGAAGCCTTGTGTGTACCTATGGAACACTTCAGCAGTATTTGATCTACCCGACCCCCATACACTCTTGACTCAGCTTCCTGAGCTCCTCGGAGTCAACAACATAGATGAGACTCTTTCCACCCATCTGTAGGCCAAGCCCCAAATCTTGTCCTGGAGGGTTTAGCATTTAGCCAACCATCCAGAGTAGTGATCTAGAGGCCCAGGCAAGATTTCTGAGAAGCTGCACTGCTAGCAGGTCTCAACTCTTCTCACTCCATCTGTGTTGTACCATTTCCCTGTGAGAATTTCTAGTCCCCCACCTCTGACTGGAGCCTGGCCCTGTGCCCCAGCTCTTTGACAGAAGAGTCACCCAACTGATATCCAATTAAGCCCCACATTGGGTGTAGAGATTATATTACAATACAATACAATATAATACAATAAAATCCTGGTATGGAATAATAAATGAGCTTGGACATGGAAACAGTTTCATCTCCATGCTCCTAGTGCCTAGCACAGGGCTGTGCATATAGTAGGGATTC